GTATTGTTGTGTTGATGCAATTAATAATGAACTAGGTATTATAATCCAGATTGTTGTAGATAGGGTAGAGATTCATGGATAGTATACTATATAGTTCAGGAATCCCACAAGTATTGGCAAATCTAATCTACAAAATGGTATCGCTACAATTTAATATTCATAATAGCTTTGCTTTCAGTTATTAAGTTCTTTATATATTCTATGCATTGAGCAAGGAATAGTCAGAGTCTAGTTTTGTGTTGATGCAATGAATTATGAAATGTATTTTTACATCGTCGGCACACATATTTCCCACATGGCGGTGCTTTTTACATGCAAAATAAATCTTTGAATGATGAATTCCTTGTACATATTGTATATCAGATTAAGACTTACATGGTTTAGTAATCCACAAATGATGGACATGGCATACCTATCGGCAGGGGAGCTGCTAGCTTGTGTTCTTTAAAATTCCACATGCACGTAGTACCAAGCATAGAATTATGCTATGTCCATATCTGTTCCAGTGTGACAACTCATACTTAATCAAAGTTAGCCTTAAGGCTGTCAGATATAAGCCCCACAAATAGGTTCTATGGCAAGACAGTGTGGGGGCAAAGTGTATATAATGGAAAGAAGTAGTCTTCTGAATAGAATACATGCACAAAGCAGCCTAGAGGTTCGTATGCAGTCTGCCATGCTGAAAATTGCTGCCCAGGTGGGCAAACATATGAAATAAATCCTGCTTGAGGGAAAAAAAGAAAAAAAAAGCTTGATCTCATAAGAAAAAAAAAAAATATGAATAAACGTGAACATGGTCATTGAGGAAAATGTATCACAACATGCATCAGGTGAGTCATGGGTTCACCTGCATGCCCAGCATTAGTGTAATGGAGAGTGGAGGAGGACCCAAATAGAGACCGTGCCACACGTGGTAAGGAACCAGCTAGAGTTTGTTTGTTTTTGTTTTTTTCATTTGTATTGTACTGGGAGCATCATTAAAGTGTTACTACTAAACCCACAACAGTAAAATCAGTCTGTATATACAGTAAAGCATGCTTGTTATAGTCACTGTGGAACCTAAGGGATTAATCATCTGCATTGTGTAAAAATGCGGTTTGATCCTGATGTCTATGATCCTCCCCTTCTTCCAGTGCCCCAATTTATCTACTGATAAGACATATCACATGGAGTCATTTTGCATATGCTCAGTTTAGTGTGTATTGCTAGAAAGGTTTTTTTTTTTTTCTTGGGAGAGTGCATGTGATCATCACAGGAGGACCGTCCAGACAGAGGTCAGGGGTTCTGCATCCTCCTAGAGCAGAATGAGAACTCCTCCTACAAGCTTTAACATGTGTTCTACTGGACCCTGATAGAAGTCACAAGACTGCTCTAACTGCTGATGATAAAAGGTATTTAGCAGTTTATATTTACTAAAATAATTGCACTTCCATGTTCTGTGTACTGTGGGAGACCAGATATAGTGAATGCAGGGCCCTGGGTTTAGTAACACTCTAAATTTCTTATTAATAAAATTGTTGGGCTATACCTAAATAAGGCTGTCTACCAATACAAATAAGGAAGAGAAGCACTGGTGAAAAGCAACAAGGAGGCCTTTGATAACACTGAAAAAGCTGTATAGACCCAAGGCTGAGCTGGGAGAAAAGCCCATCGTATTATTATAACTGGGCTTTATGGAAGAGCAAAGAGGTTCTCCAGTCCTTAATTGGTTTTAATGATTGTTTTGTACTTTTAAAGTCTTTTGATGAAAATAGGTTTATAACACACTACTTAAAGCTAACTTGGCATCCAAGCGCAAACCAATAAAAAACTTTGAAGGCTTTACAATACTATTTTTCCAAGCAACACAGAAGCAGAAACATAGTACTCAATATTTCTTTCAGCTCCAAAGTTGGAATTGTTGCACCCCCACATCCCTTAGTACAATGCAGCAAGCATTACTAAGGTGCAAAAAGGTGGGGTTTTTTGCACGCTAACTTGTATTAAGGCATCCTATTCAAATGTGCATGTGTTGCAGTAAAGCATATGTTCACACCGCAACACAAAATTCTGAATGGCACCCTGCAGGGAAACCGCATGGTCAAAAAGACCTTGCGCTTTCCCTGTGGATGCGTCTTTGAACACGTGCATGCACCTTTTTTTTTTGTGCAGAACACGTGGCACAGGAGCCCTTTCAAATTACTGGGCCTGCCATGCCCAAGCAAATGCAGGCTGCACAGCCTGCATTAGTGTGAACCTCATCTTGAAATCAACTGTTTATAACTATGAATGGGGGAAACGGTGGAACTGACCAATACACAAGATTATGTAGCCCACCACACTGCAGTCCTATAGTAATTTAGCAACTAACTCTCCCTGCACAGATTGTTAGCCCTCCATAAAGTACTCCAACACCACTATAAAAGGGTGAATTGGAAGTGGCCATTTTTCAGTGTAAGGGGCTGGCACATAACAAAGCTTCCATTATTGGCCCTTCTAAGTCAGTTGGTCAATAACCAGGCAGTGCAGTATGGTTACAAAGAAATCAGTCTACCGAATTTCACTATTAATCTGGTTGTCTTTTGCCCATGGTAGTTATCCCTAGTAATCTTCATACAGGTTCTCAATTCACTGAAACCAGAGGACCATAATGACAGCCACACAACTAGCATATCCAATCCAGCCTTTGTTTCCCTCATAAGGGGTTTTCTTAATGTGATTTACAGACTGTTGGCAGGTATGTACATTTTTTCCTCCCTACCGCATACCCCATTTGGAAGTGATGTTAGCCATTTATGTGATGACTGCTTGTAGAACAAGGTTTGGGCTTTCAGCCAGTACTGTGTCTAGGTTTACATATACTGCACTGAGTCTTACTGGTAAGCATAGCAGCAATGCAGACAGGATTATTTCAGAATTTATCCATGGGGTCAACTCTGACAGCTGCATGATCCAGACTTGTAAACACAAATTTCTGAGAGGTAAGCAAGTTATATGAACTGATTTACACAGCTATATAAATAAGAATTGACCTTCATATTTTTGAATGAATTCTGATTTCCTGGTCAAGACCTCTAAAGTAGTCTGTCTCAATCTTACTTCAAATTGATTGAAAAATACATAAGCAAAGGTTACCTTCATTTAAAACCGCTTGCCAAATATATCTAGTTATAGGTAGCTAAAATTATATGAAAATGCCAACTTTTCCTGTACTGATGACCGTGTGTCTTTCCTGAGCTTCCTCATCAAAGTAATAAGGCTACCCAATACAATAAAGAGAACCTGTCACTTTTCCTATTTAGGGCACAGCAGCGAGTTCCTTTCAAAGCCTATTTTCCTGCATGCTGATACTCATAGCATGCTTATTTTGTGTGGGGAGCCCTCTGAAATACCTATTACTCTTTCATCTTCTTCCCAGGATGTTGCTTCAATTTCTGGGATGGAGCTGCCATTGGTCAGGCCTAAATGCTGACAGCATGGGGGAGAAGTGCAGGTCATTAAGCCTATGTACTGTAAGCTCCAACATGGAGCCTGCACAACTTTAGATGAATCAGGAACGGCAAGGCAACATCAGTTTCACATTATTCATGATTAACAATAAAATGATGACCTTTAGTTTGTAGCAGGTACACAAAATTTTAAAGTTTGATATGTTGAGAATCTATTTACTTGGAACAACCTCATCCTTTATATTTTCCCCCACAATTAAGCAATATACTGCATTTGTATGCCCTAAAATGATCTTTAGTGCATTTTTTTTTTTGTACTTGATAAAATGTTGCACTACTATCTTGTGACATCAATGGTCCCTCGTTGACACTCTAAGCTCCTCCTCTTCAGTGTCTGCCCCATTGCAAGAGCTTGCTATGGGGGCAGACGTGCGGGCTCCATAGACTCACACAATGTAGCTTGGCCCCCCGTCCTGGCTCCTCCCACCCCCGTCCACTGACTGCCATCATAGGAAGATCTCAAGTGGGGGCACCCACCTTTTAGTTATGAATATCAAGGGACTTATCCCATTACATACTCAGGTGAGTATCACAGAACAAAATGCTCACACTTTGAATATTAAAAGCTGTAGATCCCATAAAAAGAATCCAAGGGCCCCATAATGCGGCATACTGTTCTTGCCCTGAGTTCACATCTAAGCGTTTTCTACAGCGTTTTGCAGAAATGCATTACAGTCCATTTAACATGATTTCCTATGGGACATGTTCACATCTCCACGTTTTCACCCGTTGCGTTTTTTAGAAGGGTCAGGGACTTTTTTTATTCTATAGACTTCAATGAAAATGCTGCAGAAAAGCATGTAGTGCGTTTTTGCCACGTTTTTGATGCGTTTTAAATCTGCCTAGCAACAAGAAAATTTAAAACAAATGCAAACAAAAAAACGCAAAACTCATCAAAAACACGCAAAAAATGCAGGTGCAAAAACGCAACCCAAAACGATATGCAGAAATGGCTCAAACGCAACCTGCATATGTGTGAACCTAGCCTTAAGTGTCATATAAGTAGACCGTCTAGTTTTCTCTCCGCATAAGATGACATAATTCTTGTTCCCAGTTCCTAATATGAGAAGTGGAGAGGGAACCCCAGTCACACGTTAAGTGAGCACCAGGTAAAATGGACAACACTGCAACATATATATTTGTTAGTGAATGTAATAGTTAGAGGTTTTTTTTAGCATGACACATGCATCAATGAGCACACAATGCTGGTTTTTCATTTCTTAATATTTAAAATTAAAAAATAAAAACTTTTTAGGGATAATGCTACCAGGTTATTTTATGGTTTCCTGACTATACTGTAATTTTGTTGTATCTTAAAAACAAATCTGTTTGCTACATCTCTCTCTTTTGGATTGCTGTTAATATTCACTAATTCCATGAACATGCCACTGAAAATCTCCATTTATGTGGAGATATACAAATGTCTTCTTTGAACATTATTTATTCCATTGTGTTGAGGCAGCTTTGTAATTAAACTGGCTTACCTGGCTGTGACCTTTTTTTCTTTTCAAGGTTATTTTGAGATGGTGGAAAATCTCTCTCCGAAGTGAATTTCGTGAAGCAAGACCTGGAGAACTAAGAGAGTCTCATGAAGACTTTGTGGATGATCCAACTCTGCAAGGTAAGTAGTTGCCCTTCACAAGTAACGTAACACGGCAATACATAAAGCAGTCTAGTATAGCGTGTATGAAATGGCATTGGTGTATCCATTCGCAAACAGTCACATCTTAGTATGTCTGAAGTTGGCCATACAAGGTAAGGTAGTTTTGGCGGTAACTGGGAGATTGAGGGGTGTTGCTAGGATTGCAGAAGACCTGGGGACATTAGAGCACTCCAAGGAGAGTAATATTTTGGTGTGCTAAGCATGCTGCAGCAAACATTGGGTAGTGGGCCCAAATTGTGTTAATGGGGGCATGGTTATTTAAAACTTGAGCCTCCTAGTACCAATTAAATAAGCTTTAACTTCTGTAAGCCTCAGCACAATCATTGTCCATTACATATGCTTTAGGGCACACTGAAAACACACAGAGAGTTCACACTTTGTCAAAGTTCACATTAAAGAAGAACTTTTTTAAAATAGTCAGAGACTGCTTAACAACCAGCAACTGTTGAGACAAAGAACACTTTGGTCATAAGTATGTAATGTGTTGTAAATTGTTGGGTTCTTTAATGCACAAAGTGCGGTGGAATACACTTTGGCATGCATAATGCAGAGCTCAGGAGTAAGTGACACACACAATGCAGGAGAGTGCAAGAGTCAAGAATATGTAACACAGAGAAAGCAGGGATTGGGAGTTAATAACACACAGGGCACAGAGGTCAGGAATGCATAAGACACAGAGCACAGGTTTAAGGCACAGCGCACAGGAGTACATAATGTACAGAGCACAAGGGCCATGAGTGCATTGTGCATCACAGCGCCTAATGTGTAAGGGTTAGAAGTGTGTAACACATAGGACAATGTATAGAGTACAACCAAAAAGTATGCCCTCTTTGACATACAATTATCCCTCCTCAACCTACCTCCCCCAGTACAGCTCTCTACTCCCACCAATGCAGATCATGTAACCCCTCCTTCTTAACCCAAATCCTCCAATATGGATCTCTCTCTTTCTTCCCCAAATTACCACCAGTACATATCTCTCCTTACTCCAGATCCTCCCAGTACAAATCTTTCCCTTCTCTCCAAATCTTATCAGTACAGATCTCTGAGACAGAGAAAGAGAGGCTCCTCCCACTGGGAAACACTAGATCCATTTTTTTTTAAAGCCCTGGCATGCTCCCAAGTCCTCAGTTTCATGTGTTTCCTCTGGTCATATAGGACACATCCCCAGTTTGTTTCTTTGCCATCATGCAGGGTGCAGGAGCCTGCTCAGTATGGTCACCTTTTTTACAAGGCAGGGGCTTTGGGGTATGTCCTCTACTAAGGATCACTAGAACCTCTTATGGGTTTCATCATTTTACTATGATTGTTTGGTTGCTAAGGGATCTCTCAGCAAGCTGTCCCAAGCAACCCACAGCTTGTATAACAGTGTAAATTTGCTGTCCCCTCAAAATAACAACACACAGCCATTAATGTCTACACCGCTGGCAACAAAAGTGAGTACACCCCTAAGTGAAAATGTCCAAATTCGGCCCAAAGTGTCAATATTTTGTGTGGCCACCAGTATTTCCCAGCACTGCCTTAACCCTCTTGGGCATGGAGTTCACCAGAGCTTCACAGGTTGCCACTGGAGTCCTCTTCGACTCCTCCATGATGACATCATGGAGCTGGTGGATGTTAGAGACCTTGCGCTCCTCCACTTTCTGTTTGAGGATGCACCACATATGCTCAATAGGGTGTAGGTCTGGAGACATGCTTGGCCAGTCCATCACCTTTACCCTCAGCTTCTTTAGCAAGGCAGTGGTCGTCTTGGAGGTGTGTTTGGGGTCGTTATCATATTGGAATACTACCCTGCGGTCCAGTCTCCGAAGGGAGGGGATCATGCTCTGCTTTAGTATATCACAGTACCTGTTGGCATTCATGGTTCCCTCAGTGAACTGTAGTTCCCCAGTGCCGGCAGCACTCATGCAGCCCCAGACCATGACACTCCCAACACCATACTTGACTGTAGGCAAGACACACTTGTCTTTGTACTCCTCACCTGGTTGCCGCCACACATGCTTGACACCATCTGAACCAAATCAGTTTATCTTGGTCTCATCAATCAGACCACAGTACATGGTTCCAGTAATCCATGTCCTTAGTCTGCTTGTTTTCAGCAAACTGTTTGTGGGCTTTCTTGTGCATCATCTTTAGAAGAGGCTTCCTTCTGGGACGACAGCCATGCAGACCAATTTGATGCAGTGTGCGGCGTATGGTCTGAGCACTGACAGGCTGACCCCCCACCTCTGCATAAATGCTGGCAGCACTCATACGTCTGTTTCCCAAAGACAACCTCTAGATATGACGCTGAGCATGTGCACTCAACTTCTTTGGTCGACCATGGCAAGGCCTGTTCTGAGTGGAACCTGTCCTGTTAAACTGCTGTATGGTCTTGGTCACCATGCTGCAGCTCAGTTTCAGGGTCTTGGCAATCTTCTTATAGCCTAGGCCATCTTTATGTAGAGACACAATTCTTTTTCCTCAGAGAGTTCTTTGCCATGAGGTGCCATGTTGAACTTCCAGGAACCAGTATGAGAGAATGAGAGCGATAACACCAAATTTAACACACCTGCTCCCCATTCACACCTGAGACTTTGTAACACCAACGAGTCACATGAAACCGGGGAGGGAAAATGGCTAATTGGGCCCAATTTGGACGTTTTCACTTAGGGGTGTACTCACTTTTGTTGCCAGCGGTTTAGACATTAATGGCTGTGTGTTGTTATTTTGAGGGGACAGCAAATTTACACTGTTATACAAGCTGTACACTCACTACTTTACATATAGCAAAGTGTCATTTCTTCAGTGTTGTCACAGGAAAAGATCGAATCAAATATTTACAAAAATGTGAGGGGCTGGACTCACTTCTGTGAGATACTGTATGTCTTTTGGGCTGGAACACAGGAGTGCTCCCCCACCTCAAATCCATTCAGTACCGTGATCTACCCCCCTAAAGTCCACTCACCAGATTGTTGTAGCACTCATTGAATGGATATCCTCTCTTGGTTGTGTCATGTCACACTGCATATCAGAGCCAAGTAGGAGCCTTCCTACGCTCTGTACTCTACCACATGGAAATGAGCAAGTCTCAATGACCATCGCTAGCACTAGGCACATGCCGCACATTTCTTGTGGGGTGCCCCAGATCTAACGCTGTGACAGCCTATGTGTCATGTGCCCTGGGTGTCCGGTGGTGGTGACGCTCACTGAGGGACAAATGTAGTAATGGATATGTAGATCAGGCAAAGGTAAAATCTAGAAAGGGCCAGATTGCTCAGTTTTGGATTATCAGGTCCCCATATATTGCTTACAAACCCTAGATCTTTTAAAAGTTTTTGGAGCACAGCAAAATCTTTGCACTACAATACTAAACAAGTCCCACAGACTCATGCTGTACCCTCTTCCAGAGCAGCACTTGCAGAAGGTTGCTAAGAAACACAAGTGAATGGCAGTGAAACGCCTTCATTTAAAGGTTCCATGTGGATACAAGGAAATCAGACTAGAGATTTGTCCTAAACATTTTTTCATTGTTCACATCTTATGGTTTTTTGCTTTGACTTCATCCTGCGTGGCAATGGCAGCAATGACTTCCTTATGTTAGACTGAACTCCCCATCATTCTTCCCCTATCTGGCTCCACCTCACTGTGATTTTTCTAACAGCAAACCAAAACACTCCGTATCAAAAGCTCTCTGTCTGTCTGACATACACGACTCTGTGCTGCAATCTTCTGTAACTTGAATGCTACTGTTTTCTAAGGAACTTTGCCAAAATACCTCCCTTCCTCTGTTGAGCAAATTATAGCACCACTCCTCACCCTTGCTGTAAAATATAAAGTTCTCTGTTTTTTGAATTGCACCTTTATCAGACATAATGCTGGATGAACTGAATTGTTACTGCACGTTACCTAGTTTAAATCCTATTAAAATAATAAGGATTTAATTTTGTACCCTGGAATGTATAATATATAATACACCCTGAGTTTGAATCTTACGGGAAAGTGAAACATTTGTATTGCATTTTTGATAAGTCAATGTAGAGGAAGAATTGGCATAACTTCAATCTGCCCAGTGCTTCTGACCTTCCCAGGTGGTAATATGGTGGTGTACCCAGCTTCAGCCAAAAACCATAGTAGATGTTACCTGATACTCCACCTGTTGGCTTAAGCTTCTATCACAGCTCAACATTTGTATGCTTTGAGATTACTAGCTTAACTACTTGCCCTCTTGAGGATTTACCCCTTTCTGACCAGGCCATTTTTTGCAATACGGCGCTGCGTTACTTTAGCTGACAACTGCGCGGTCATGCAACGCTGCATACAAATTAAATTTATGTCCTTTTTTTTTTTCCCCACAAATAGAGCTTTCTTTCAGTGGTATCTGATCGCCTGTGCATTTTTTTTTTTTTGCGCTATAAACAAAAAAATATTGACAATTTTGAAAAAAAAACTATATTTTTGACTTTTTGCTTGTAAACATGTCCAGTAACAAAATTTTAAAAACCAAATTTCATCATAAATATAGACAAAAATATATTTTGCTATATGTCTTTCCTAAAAAAAAAAAAATCCCAATACGTGTAAATTAATTGGTTTACGTGAAAGTTGTAATTTTACAAATGGCGGTATAGATACTGGAATATTTTTTTTTCTACTAGTAATGGTGGCGATCAACAACGTGTTGCGGTACTGTGGTGGGCATTCTGACACTAAGGGGGAACTGACGTGGTGTCACTGACATCCACAGTGACACCAATATAGTGATCAGTGCTAATAAAAATCACTGACACTGTACTAATGGCATTGGGCAGGAAGGGGTTAGCATGTGGGGGCTATCAAAGGGTTAACTGTGTGCTGTTTCACAGTATGTTGTGTGAGCGCTTTCCACTGTAAGCGCACTGCTTTGTATAGTTCTGCTATGCAGAGCCATGCAAAGTAGCGTGCAAGAGCTGACGGGAGAGATCTGTGTTGTTTATACA